CCGTGCTGTACTCCACGTGCGCCGCGTTGATGGTGATGCCGCGCGCTTTCTCCTCGGGGGCGCTGTCGATCTCCTCGTAGGGCCGGAACCGCGCCCCGCCCCCGGCCGACAGCACTGAGGGACCCAAAACCGGCGGAATTCACCCCAAAATCAGCACGGAAACAAAAAAACCCAATTTGGCAGGAAAAAAATCAAAATTCAGCTCAAAAATCCCAAAAAAGAGCCCAAAAACATGGAAATTCAGCCCAAAAACCAGCTCAGGCCCAGCCCCGCCCCCGGCCGACAGCACTGATGGACCCAAAACCGGCGGAATTCACCCCAAAATCAGCACGGAAACAAAAAACCCCAATTCGGCAGAAAAAACACCAAAAAACAGCTCGAAAATGCCAAAAAACAGCTCAAAAACATGGAAATTCAGCCCAAAACGAGCCCAAAAACCAGCTCAGGCCCAGCCCCGCCCCCGGCCAACAGCACTGAGGGACCCAAAATCGGCGGAATTCACCCCAAAATCAGCACGGAAACAAAAAACCCCAATTCGGCAGGAAAAAACCCCAAAATTCAGCCCAAAAACGCCCAAAATCAGCTCAAAAACCCCGAAATTCAGCCCAAAAACCAGCTCAGACCCAGCCCCGCCCCCGGCCAACAGCACTGAGTGACCCAAAACCGGCGGAATTCACCCCAAAATCAGCACGGAAACAAAAAACCCCAATTCGGCAGGAAAAACACCAAAAAACAGCTCGAAAATCCCAAAAAAGAGCCCAAAAACATGGAAATTCAGCCCAAAACGAGCCCAAAAACCAGCTCAGGCCCAGCCCCGCCCCCGGCCGACAGCACTGGCGGACCCAAAACCGGCGGAATTCACCCCAAAATCAGCACGGAAACAAAAAACCCCAATTCGGCAGGAAAAAAACCCCAAAAAACAGCTCAAAAATCCCAAAACCAGCCCAAAAACGCCCAAAACGAGCCCAAAAACCCCAAATTCAGCCCAAAAACCAGCTCAGGCCCAGCCCCGCCCCCGGCCGACAGCACTGACCGACCCAAAATCGGCGGAATTCACCCCAAAATCAGCATGGAAACAAAAAACCCCAATTCGGCAGAAAAAACACCAAAAATCAGCTCAAAAACACCCCAAATTCAGCCCAAAAACCCCAAATTCAGCCCAAAAACCCAAAATTCAGCCCAAAATCCCCGAAATTCACCCCAAAAATGTCACCGACCCCCCCGAAATCCCCTGTGAGAGCTCAGGAACCAAAATCCCCCAAATTCAGCCCAAAATTCCCGTTGGTCCCACTTTAACCCAGCCCAACCCAATTTCTCCCATTTTAAACCCATTTCTCCCATTTTTATTTATTTTAACCCTTTTTTCCCATTTTAACCCAATTTTCCCCCATTTTTCTCTACTCTAACCCCAATTTCTCCCATTTTAAACCCATTTCCCCCATTTTTACCTATTTTAACCCATTTTTCCCATTTTAACCCCATTTTTCCCCATTTTTCTCTACTCTAACCCCATTTTTCCTATTTTATTCTCATTTTTTCCCATTTTAACCCCATTTTTTCCCATTTTTCTCTCCTCTAACCCCAATTTCTCCCATTTTAACCCCATTTCTCCCATTTTTATCTATTTTAACCCTTTTTTCCCATTTT